ACATCTGTATCTAAAGATATAGATAGATGAATATAGATATAGATACATAGATATAGATAGATAGATACAGATATACATATTAAATATACACTCATCTTTTAACTTTCAAAGTCCTTCCTACCAGCTCTCAATCTATTTTTCCAATTTTGCAGCATTTTACTCCCCTTCCCACAATCCGCAAGCCAGCCAAACTAGTCTTCTCACTCTTCCTTAAACATAACACTCCATCTCTCGTCTCTGTACCTTCACTTTGGCTGTCTTCCATGCTTGAGAATACACTCTCTTCCTGCTTTTACCTCTTAAGAGGCCCTTGTTTTTATTTTTGTCTTTCCAAAACATTACTTTCTACATTTCTACATGCTGTTGCCCCTCCTCTGATTTACCTTATATTTATTACATATGTAGATGCCTATAGATGTATATGTTACCTCCCATTCTTCCCCCAAAGAATATAAGCTCCTTGAGGTCAGGTACTGTTTCATGTTTGTCTTTAGAGCCTAGCACATTGACTGTACATAGAGATGCTTGTTGCTTGCTTGATTGATTGATTTTCCATCCTAATGCTATCTCGTGTTCTGGAAGTTTTCCTACAGGATTTTGAAGAAAGTAGATTCTGAAACCATTTGGATTTCGGGGAGCATTTGGGTGATTTTCTGGTATTTGTTTACTAAAGTATCTTAGTAAGTCTAGTCAACATTTTGGAGCAAACTGCCAGACTTCTATGGGCACAAATAGGCAATGAAATTGATTTAAATTTCAGAGAAATTACCTGCTGTTGTTTGATGGTTTCTGCAATGTCAGATCCATTGTCAAAGAGGTAAAGATAGAGTTTCGAAAAACAGCTGACACAGCAAAATCCTCATCGGGCTTCTGTGTTATGGCTATTCAATAAACATGGAAAGGTGACTTTTACTGGCAAAGGCAGGTTAATTGACTTCGAAAAGGAAAGTCTTAGAGACAGTGGGAGATGCAGAAACAAGCCCGTTTCTGAGATGGCATGTTGATATGACAGTATTTACTGCAAAGCTGCTGATAACGTACCCAAGTCCAGTAAAAAGTACACAGTACACAGTAGATTCTTAAGGCATATGTCAAATATTTATTAATACCCTCAGAAATAGGTGCTTATAGTTGGAAAGCATCAGTAACCTTGAATAGGCTTAGGCAGAAAAAAAAATGAAACTTCCTACAGACCACACTAGGTTACACACACACACACACACACACACACACACACACACACATGCATGCACACGTGTGTGTGTGTGTGTGTGTGTGTATTTACAAGCAAGATTAGAAAAAAATTCTTTTAAAATTTGGTCAGTGAACTTTTGGTCAAAATTTATCAATATCTTTGAGTATTTTGAACTAAGAAGTGTCAGAACAAGGCAGCATTTGAATTTTTTAAAAGTCTGAAAAAAAGTGTGGTTTGTGCAGAATCACAGTCTAGAATAGATAAAAATGATCTATTCATTGTCTTCTGCATTTCATTTCAGTATCCATGTCATGTTGATACTTGCCTTCTATGTGTTTCATGGCTCTTGAGTCCATCATTTGGATGCCTCACCACTAAGTGCTTAAGCTGTGCTTTAGTTTTTAGCTGATCCTAGTAATTAATCAAACATTTTTAAGTGCCAGCAGCTGCCAGCCATTGCACTGTTGGACTTTCTCTGCCATGCCCTAGAAATCTTTATATAAATGTGTGCTGCTATTGTTATTATTATTATTATATGTATATTTGTTATAATGGTTTTGTTTTTTTCTTTACTTTTTTTCTCAGTGAGGTAGAGCAAGAAGGGAGGGAGAATCATTTCTTGTTAATTGAAAAATGAAAAAAAAAGTTATTTTAAAAAATGAAACAATGATTATTGGATTGGATTGAATTTATGCATCCTTAAACAAAAGCATGAGTCATGCTTGGAATTTAAGACATTGGCAGATGGTGAGTCGAGGAGGTCAGTAGGAAATATTTCAATCTCTTTTAGATCATAACGATAAACACTTACTTCATCCATGTGTAGGGCCAGCCCTTAATACATCACTGTTAAGCTTTTCCTTTTCTTCCACAGATCAAATAATCTCTGCCCACCCCCTCCCCTGAACTCCTCACAGATATGGAATTTTTCTTCAACTGCCTTCAATAATGAACAAGATCATCACAGGCTTGTTTAGGGCAAAAAAAGTATTTTCCCCCCTCATACATAGAGCCACATGTGATTCCCTTTACAGGGAGACCACTAATCTCCCTCTTTTCAGGGTCTTCTTGGTAGGATGTAGCAGGGTTTGCATCCTACTGATATAACTTTCAAGAATTCAAAGGCACCTCTACACCATGCGAGATGCCTCTGAATAGAATGTTCATGGACGAAATCTGAGATGTATTTTATTTTTAAAATATCTGGTGACTCAGAGGAAGTGGATCTACTTGCAGATATTTATTAAATTTTGGGAAAAAGCTAATTTGAGGCAGAAATCTTGCATCCTCTGTTTCAGCCTGAAGCGTATTTTACAGCCACTGTACAAATCCTAGGGAACTGGGTCTTGTAATGGAAATGCTGACGACCATAATGTTGTAGCTTTGTCAAACTTTTGTTAACGAGTACATTTGCTAGTCTGTGGGACTTTTATCAAAGATGGAACTACCACTTTTTTGGAAAGAGAAAAAAGCCTAAAAAACACTATTTCTCTTCTACATAGATACCAAAAACCGAATTTCGAAACAAGAATTTTATTGAAGTGGCTTACCGATTATGCTGCTCATTGAGCCATTTAGGCATGCCCATTGTCATCGTAGAGCTAATTATACTCCTGTTCCCATCAACAAATGTAGGAAAGATTCTTCCCTCTGAGTCACTAATAGTAAGAGATATGAGCATTAAACAAACCCTGAAACTCTACCTCATACCAAATGGACTGGCAAAGATGTCAAAAGACAGTCAAGTTCCAAGGGCTATGGAAAGGATAGACACATAGCACTAGATTTGGAAGGGACCTCAAAGGTTGTCTCATCTAGCCCCCTCATTTTGCAGAAAAGAATCTGAGACCCAGAGAATCTAAATGACTTGTCCAATGTCACATTGCATGGTTTGTCCTTTGTTCTTGAAATGGACCATGACATCAGGAAGATGTTGCCATGACTCGAAAGTGAATTGGATTTAAGTGAGGGTGGGCTGTGCGAAGTCACCAGCCTCACTCTCTCTTCCAGAGCCATCTGGGTCCAGTGGCCATATATAGATCAGGGCAATTGAAGATGGCCCAGGATGTAGTGGGAGACCTTGGCCTTATTAAGCTAAGTTCTTTCCAAGTTCTCATTTTGACTGAGGCAATGCCCATTCAGTCATTAGGGCTTTTTGAGAAGTGAGCCAAGGGATGGCCCCTTTAATTAAAAAGAAATTGAAGTAGGAGGGGAAACCCCAGGGTTTCTGGCCAAAAGACAAACAATTACTATTTGCATTCACTTTGAGCTATCTGGGCACCAAAAAATAAATCATTTAGTGGTGCTTGGGCAGGGACCTGTTGTTGGTCAATCAGTGAGAGCCAGAGTGAATTGGATTTAAGGGATGGTCTTTAAAAGAGAAATCTAGCCAATAAACCCCAAGATAACAAATGTCAGAAGTCAGAAGATGTGGATATGCCACATAGGTAGTCAGTGACAAAGGAAGGTTCTGAATCCACATTCTAGAACTAACACTCACTTCACTGTACCACACTAATACATGGAATTTCTGAATTGGTCCTACCATCCTGGAAAATAAGTTGTAATTTTGCAAGAAAACTGAGTAAGCTGTCTATAGCTTTTGACCTACTGGTCCCACAACTGGGCATATCCACCAGCAAGGTGAGAGAGAGAAAAGTGAAATATATTAGCCTCTCATTTTTGTGGTAGCAACAGAAAAAAAAAAGTGGGTGTTCCTCATTTGGGAAACGAACATATTATGGTATATGAAAGTAATGGAATGTTAGTAATTTCTAGAAAGTAATGACTCTGAATAATTCCAAGAAACATTGGAAAACTCCTATGAAGAGTTTAAGAGTGAAGAAAGTGGAACAGGAAAACAGCATATACAATGGCTATAATAATGTAAATGAGAAGAATGCTAAAATGAAGTTGGACACTGAGTAATTGTAATAACCAAGTTTGACCTTGGTGAAGAGAGGAGAAAATGCATCTCTCTCCTTTCCTTGAAGAGGTAGAGTATGGGTATGGAAATCTGCATATGCTGGCTGGTGTAGTCTCTGTTCCTTGGTATTATTTAACTGGTTCTCTTTGTTACAAGGGAATACTATTTTGATTGTAATAGAAAAGGGCATAACTGGAAATAACTATGTTTATAAAAATAGAAGACATCAATAAAACATTATTTTTAAAAGTACAAATGAATTTTTCCTGGTCTTGAATAATAAGGCATGTAAGAGTGAAATTTCCAGTCTTTTCAGCTCCAATAGAAACAAGGGATGAACAGTGCCTGGAGCTATGCCAGAGCGGAATCAATGAAAGAATACTATTATTGACTATCTGTCCTTTTTTCTCCTAAAAGCAGAATGCAATTAAAATTTTTTTAATCCAATATTTCTTGAGAAAAAAAATGTTATGCTTGGATGGTATAGTTCCTTGATTTGGAAGATACTGGTTTGTTGTGTTCACATAGCACCAGAGCCAATTTCCCATCAAGAGGCTGGAAACTTCAGAAGAGGAGCATGAAACTAAACACCGTGCAAGGATGGTGCCCAAGTTTTACCTTCAATAAAACAGAGGTGGAAAGAGAACAATTAAAGATATGTAGATCTGAATATAAGAAGGCCCTCCATCAATCTCAAGGAAGACTCTAATGTTCTATGGTGGGTATATCCATTCCAACTTCAATTAGATTCAGTTAAAAACAGCCCCTAGAAAAGACTGTGTCTTGTTATAGTAATTCCCTGGAGGAACTTGAAGGGACTGGTAACAATACCTCTTAAAGGGACACCATGTTGCTAGGGAACAGCCAGTTTCCTGTTACCTATTTCACTTGGTACCCCATAATCCTCGTCTGTGGCACTCCCCTCACTGAAGAATCTACAGGGTCTTGGAAGACAGCTCCTAAATTGTCTCCTGGAAACACGATAGAAAACAATTTCAGGAAAATAACCTTATGACAGTCCAGTGAACTTTATGCGGCAACAAGACATGTCTGAAAGGTAGGAAACAAGATGATAAAAGGAACTTCAATTTTTATATTGACTTCCAAGACAATGCTTTTCTACTGTGTCATTATCCTCTCCCCTCATACAGATACTTAGAATAGCAGCCCTTTTTAAAAAACTAACAATGGTCCATGAAAGTAAGGATTTTTTTTTTATGCCATCAATTTAACAGCCCTCGGTAACTAGAACATAGAATATGGTTGATTTTTCCTTTGGAGGGGAGAGGGAAAAGAGGAGGCCTAAGGTGAAGCTGAGACAGTGGTTCCAAGCCGCAGTTTTGTAGCACTGCTAGGGTGTCCCTCCCCCCAATTTTCTCAAGAGGTGTCATGACATTCTCAGAAAATGAACACTGGGTCATTTTTATCTCTTTTCTTCCTCCCTCCTCCTCCCCTCCCTTCCTTTCCTCCTTCCCTCCTTTTTACCTCCCTTCCCTCTTTGCCTGCTTGCCTTCCTGCCTTCCTTCCTTCCTTCCTTCCTTCCTTCCTTCCTTCCTTCCTTCCTTCTTTCCTCCCTCCTTCCTTCCTTCCCTCTCTCCCTCCTTGCCTTCCTTTCTCCCTTCCTCCTTCTCTCTCTCCCTCCTTTCCCTTTTCCTTCCTTCCTTCCTTCCTTCCTTCCCTTCCTTCCTTCCTTCCTTCCTTCCTTCCTCTTTCCCTTCCTCCCTCCTTCCTTCCCTCCTTCCCTTCCTCCCTTCTTCCCTTCCTCCCTTCCTTCCCTCCCTCCCTCCCTCCCTCCCTCCTCCTTCCTTCCTTCCTTCCTTCCTTCCTTCCTTCCTTCCTTCCTTCCTTCCTTCCTTCCTTCCTTCCTTCCTCCCTCCCTCCCTCCCTCCCTCCTTTCTTTCCTCTTTTCTCTTTTTCTCTTTCCCTCCCTCCCTTCTCTCTTCTTGATCTGTCTTAAAGAAATATAACTGGGGAAAGGAGTGCTGGACCAAATCAAGCTGGATGTCACAGCTTCTCCCAAAGCACTGGGTACCTCCCTGGTTTAGAGGCTTTGTAGTTCCTATAAACATTCCTTTCACTGATATCTCATTTTGAATGTGGTTCCCTTTGGCTCATTGGAATACTACAGACAACAGCTCTCTCTCCTTTTCACTCTCTGAATCTCCAATACACTATATTCTAAAAATGTTTACATAAGAAAGCTGGAGGCAAAAGTCCCTTACCAAAGGGATTGTTTGTCTGACTTTCAAACCAATACAAAAACATCTTTCTTAGAACGTCTATTTAATTTCACTTTCTGGTCAATTATAAGGAACTGGGCTCCTCAGAGTTGGCACATCTTCAGCCTATTAGGAGTCAAGTGCCTCATCTATTCTAAATTCCTAATATTCAGTCAACTTCATTTGGGCCTTTATCTTTGCTCACAAGAACTATTCCCAGGATATATTGTCCCTTTAGTGTCTACATTACCATTTCAATAGCACATTGAAACTATGTTAAGTGTTGAATTTTCAAAGCTGAAACCCAACTAGGGAGCAGAAAAGTGGCCTGAAGTTTCAGAAATCTCATAGGCCACCCAGCTGTGTTTGTTGCAGCTCATCTTGGGATATTTCTAAACAGAACTCTCCAGTGAAGACTGTCATCACTTGGACCTGTCTGGCTTGCCTTTAGACACTTGCAGCCACTTGGGTGTTCTTTCTTGTCCTGAATAGGTTTCTAGCTTTTCCAGGGGAGGTCCCCTATTTTTCTAGTTCCCTTGATTTTTGGTTTAGGGGGTACATATAAGACTAGTATAGAGGGCCAAAGTCATGTGACTGACTGCATGAGACATTGGAAAGGGACCTGATGCTGAATTAAGAGGACCTTCATTCAGATCCTACCCCTACCATTTATGACATAGTCAGGTAACAATCTCTCTGGGTGTTAATTGTTCCATTTGTAAAATGAGAGTTTGGACTAGATGACCTCTAAGGTCCTTTCTATATCTGTGTTGTCTATTTTCAAGAATGCTGATTATTTCTCTTCTATCTCATTAGCCATTCTCCCCTCCCCCTTTTAAGTAAATGAACAAATGGAGATACAAGTTTGTTGCTGGATTATATGTAGATTTAGAACTAAAAGTGAACCTACTATTCATCTTGTCCAGTCTCCCCCCCCCCATTTTACTGGTGCCCAAACTGAGACTATAGATGTTATATTATTTGCCTAAGATTAATCAGGTACTAAGGCTTGCACCCAATCTCCAAGGCAATGACTGATGTCGTTAAAACAAGGAATTGAATTTAAACTCTGTGAAAATTTTATCATTCTGAATCTCAGGACTAAAGCGTAGAAAATTCAACAGTCTGAGATCCTTAACAGTATTTCCTGAGTTTTAAGGAAAGTTGTCTTGGATGAAATCAGAAGTCAGGTGAACCTATCATGTTTATTTAGATGGTATTTTTTTTGGAGGGGGGCATGGACCTGTCATTTTATTGACATAAGGAATTCCTGGTGAGGAAAATCTTCTCACCAATGTGTGCCTTACAATTATAGAAAGCTGCCCGGTGTACTAAAAGTTGAAATGAATTACCCAGGGGTCACACAACCAGTGTCTATCAAAGGATGAACACAAGTCTTCCTGACTCTTTCCCCACTATGACAAACGGCCTCTTTTCATAATGACAGCTTCTAAATTAACTCATTGAATTATCTGGACCTTTTTTGATAGCACTCATTGTCTTCACAATTGGAATATAAGTTCTTTGAGAGTAGAAAGTATTTTGTTTATTGTATTTGGATCCCCTGAGCCTGGTACATAGTAAGTGCTTAATAAATGCTTGCGGATTGATTGAGTGATTCAAAGCAGGGCCTGACCCTTATTAGGCTCCCTTATTGTAGCCTGGATCTACTCAGCCACTGAGGCCATGTCCCAGAAATGAGGGCATCTGTTACTGCTTGCTTCTCCAGTGTTACACCCTTTTATAATCACCAACGCGGCATTTCAATAAAACAAACACACAATGGCGACTGCCACAGAGAATGGAGGAGGCTTAATGATTGTAAGGAGCAACACTGTCTTTGAATGAATGATACTTCTGAATGGATCACCTCTGTCATTGTTGTTTTTCATCCCATAATATTGGTCTCCATTCATCTGTTTCCTTCTTCACCTATTCCTTTACCCTTTTAAAAAAAATTAATTGAAGGCCAGTGCTGTCCCCTCAGAAGACAATCTATTCTCTCTTACACTTGTGGCCAGATTTATATGGGCACCTTTTCTGTGGCAGGTTTATATTAAAGCAATTAAAAAATTAATTCCACCTTCATAAGGGTTTAAATTGGTACTTTACAATAACTGTTTACTGGAAGCAGAAAGGTTTAAAAGGACTTCATCTACACACTAGTTAAACTTCAGAAATTTGGCTGTAAAAATGGTCCCCTTTTGTGGGTTTTTAAAAATTGGTGGTCATTAATGGGAACATTCTTCCAGCATATGAAGATTATTTACTGCCTATGTGACCTAAGGCAGGTCATTTAATTTTTCTGGGTCTCACTTTCCACATAAAATGAGGAGATTGGATTAGAAAACCTCTAAAGCCCCTTAAGACTCTAAAGCTGTGATCAGACTGATATTCATTCAAAGTTTATACTCATGGTGGCATCAGAGGACATGGGTTCAATTCTCAGCTCTGTCACTTTCTCTTTGAATGACCTCAAGTAAGTCATTTCACTTCTGGACTTACTTTCTCCAAGCATAAAATTAAGAGGTGATAGATAACTTTTTAAAATTCAATTTTATTTTTTCAATTATCAAGCACTTATTTTTTCTTCTTCCTATATCTTCTCCCTACTGGACAAAAGAAAAGAAAAACAGAACCCTTGTAACATATAAACTTAGTCGAGCATAACCAATACCTACATTGGCCACAGTCCAAAAATCTCATCCCATTCTACTTATTTGTCTATCACCTGTCTATGGAGACGTAGAGTTCTGTATCACTGGCCTTGGGAATCATGATCAGTCATTACCTTGTTGAGAATTCTTAAGTCTCTCAAAATTGTTCATTTTTTATAATCTTGACGCTATAGTATGTATTGTCATTGTTTTGCTCACTTCACTCTTCATCAGCCCATGTCATTTTTTCTAGGTTTCTCTGAAATAGTCTTTTTTTTTCATTTCTTACATCATAATAGCATTCCATCAAATTAATGTACAATACATTTATTCAGCCATTCACTAATTGGTGGACACCTCCTTACTTACTAGTTCTATATCACTCCCCAAAGAGCAGTCATAACCAATGAAAGAGAAAGCACTTTTGGGTGGGTGGGAAGAGACAGTTATCCAAGGATAGTGTCAGCTTCAGGAATTGTGACCCATCATCACAGAGAGAATTACCAGCTATGGATTCCTCAGAGCCCAGCAGACAGTGAACTTCATAACGATTCCACAGGAGAAAAGGACTCTCAGGGGCACGGAGTTTTGTGGTACCCTTTGGCTCCACCTGTCTCAAAATGTTTGCCAGACTTCTTTGGTACTTCAAGTTGGAGCCCTTTCTCCTCAGGAACTTTATTGCACAAGAGGAGAGTGCATCTTGGTTTGGAGGCTGAGTGTTTTCTACCAACTACTCTTGATATTGCTTCCCAGTAAATTCCTTATATAAAAGCAAATGGAGTTCAACTGTTTAATTGTTAAGGGGAAGAATATTGATGAAGACTTCTGAACAACAGTAGTAGAAAGCTTAGACTCTTAGGATTACCCATAGAGATTGTAATGGAATATTATTATGCTATAAGAAATGACTAAAAGGATGATTTCACAAAAACCTGGAAAGACTTACATGAACTGATACAAAGTGAAGTAAGCAGAACCAGGAGAATATCATACACAGTAATAGCAATACTGTACAATGGAGACTTGTGAATGACTTAGATACTCTCAGCAATACAATGATCCAGACAATCCCAAAGGACTCATGATGAAAAATGCTATCCATATCCAGAGAAAGAATTAATGTCTGAATACAGACTGAAGCATACTATTTTTAAATTTCTTTCTTTCTTCTTTTGTTTGAGTTTTCTTCCACAAAATGACTAATATGGAAATATTTTACATGATTGAGCATGTATGACCTTTACCAGATTGCTTATCATCTCAGAGAGAGGGGAAAGGAAGGAGAGGAAGGGAGGGAGGGATAGAATTTGGAACTCAAAACTCAAAAAAACTCAACAAATTTTAAAAATTGGTTTTACATGTAATTGGGAAAAATATTATTTTTAAAAAAGGGATTACCTATAGAGCCCTGAGAATAGCAGCAGTAATAGCTGCCCAGGGGGACTTTAACCAGTAAGTGAAAGTGCAAATTTAGGAAGTAGTCCCATGGTGAGGTGGGTAATAAGTATAGCCTTCCTCAAATAATGTTGCGTTGCCAGCTCTATCTTGGGAGAGACTGTGGAATAATGGAAAGGGTACTAAATTTGGAATTAGGAAATTAGGATTCAAAAATCTTGACTCTGCCATTTACTGTGTGTCCTTGGGCACTTAACTTCTATTGGACTGAATTTTATCATTTGGATAATGAGGGAATTGAACTGGATGACCCCTGAATTCCTTTCTAGCTTTAAATCCTTGAGCATGTGATCCTAAAATGTACCGTTCTATAATTGATGGAAAATTGCAGAGAAAACAAGATCACATTGTGGTACAGAGGAAATTGGTCCTGGAATCTGATATGGTAAACAGTGTTTTTTGTTTGTTTGTTTTTGGTTTTGGCTACAACAGACAGGAACTGGGTTCAAATCCTATTTCTAATATTAACTTGGCTACATTGGACAAAGTCACTTAATGCTCTTGAACTTCTGTTTCCTCAACTGTAAAATGACAGGGTTAGGCTAGATGCCTTCTGAGATCCCTTCTGGCTCCAGATCTATGAGCCTATGACTGACAGACTGGTTGGTTACTGGGGTTCAGAATCATGGCCAAGGTACTTTGAGATCCTCAGTCACTAAATATTAAAATTGTCCTGCCTTCTCCTCCACTGAGAGACAGTTTGGTGGGTAGAGCACTAAATCCAGAGTCATGAGACTTGTATTTGAATCCTTCCTTTTCAATTGATCAGTCAATCCACAAGCATTGATCAATTGCCTATTATGGTTGCATATAAGCACAAAACAGAAATACTTAAAAGTTCCCTCTTTCAAAGAGCTTACATCCTACCTGGCAGCTTATGAGCCGTGTGACCCTAGACAAGTTATAATAGTATTAAACACCATACCCCCCATTTCCACATCTGTAAAATCAGGACAATCATATTGGCACTGCCAAACCCCAAAGATGGGTTGGAAGAAAAGTATTTTGTAAACCCCCAAATTGAGTTATTATTATTAATTCAGTCCAGAAGAGGGCACTATTTTTAAATAGTTTCAAAAATGGGAAATCAAATAAAAGATTTCAGGCTTAACCCTGAGCAAACCAGACAATTCATAACCCCTTCTCCACTGTATTTAGTTAGATGATAGATAGATGATAGATAGATAGATAGATAGATAGATAGATAGATAGATAGATAGATAGATAGATAGATAGTAGTATGATACAATGGAAGTGTTCTGACTCTTGGGTCAGAGGACCTGGATTCAGGTTTTTCTGGATTTTCTGAAGCTTACCTTCTGTTTGGCCCTGTGTAACCTTTGCTTCCTTGTCTATAAAATGAGGGAATTGAGGGATTTACTGCATTCTCTCCTTAGTCAGTTATTCTAACTTTTTTGGTGGCTAAATCTTAAAGAAGATTATCATTGAGAAAAAGCCCTTCCATCTGCGAAATAGCTTAGGGTTCAAATAACTGAATATTGTTCCTTTAATTTCATATTTGAAATGTTAATATTTTGTACACAGCAGAAGAACCCTTATCTAATTGGTAGGTTTAAGTGTCCAAAGAGTGACGAGGAAAACTTTCCCAAAGTCACACTTGAAAGCAATCCGACCTGCCAAAGTAGCTGACAGTGATTGAGATCTCTTTGCTCTGTCTAGAGAATCTTGCTCTGTATTATACTGTAGCTTTGGAAAGATTAAGAACAGAGCCTTGACTATTTTATGGCATTTTAAAGTACAATTACCTTCCTGCTAACAGTGCTAAACTTGTTTCTTTCTTTCTTTTATTTTTGTAAGGGGATTTCAACAATTTTCATGGCTATGATTGCTTTTTTACTCCAGTTAGTGCGTGAAACATGCCCTTTGGACATACCCAGAGGGCACTCTAGAAAGGCAGATTTTATTGGCTCAGTGGCAGTCACTTTAACATAAAATATAGATTACCTTCTCTTAAGACCCCAAGGGCCTGGAAAAAAAAAATTGATCAATAGGACAAGTGGTAACAAAATTCAGGAAAAGTGCTTGTACAATACTCCTTAGCTGGAGAGAGTACCGTTTTTATACACTACATCTTAAACGCTTCAATTAAAATAATAAATAACAGCAAAAAGAAGAGAACTGAGGACAACAAGCGAAGAAGAAGACCGGATTGGCAAGAAAGGCCCCCTAACTGAAGATAAGGGATACGCTAGTAGCAAGTGCTACAAATAGGTGGTATGAAAATAAGAGCACACAGGGAATTGGGAGAATTAGTATAATTTTTAATGAATGGAAAAGGAAGCCAAGTGGTTGAGATGGGCTGAGGAACTTCTCTCCACTCTGTTATCCTCCCCTCTCCTTGTTTCTTCTCCTGTGCTCATCTTTTTTTCCCCTTTATTTCCCAATTTGGTAAAACAGGAAGACTATCCTACATAACCTCTGCAGAATACAGGGTCGTCTCCAAAAGTCTTCATGTGGTTTTAAGGTACTAAAGCTTAAAATTGCACTAAGACTTTTGGGATAGCCTGTATATCTAGGCAGCCTACTGGGCTCTTGTTTCAGTCTGAGGTTGGGGCTGGGGGAGGAATGGCCTAACAATAATAATGGTCATGAGCATGGCTCTTTCTGGTTTACAAAGTGCATTGTATATGTTATCTTTAGTGAGTTCTTCAGTGGGTTTTTCTGGGTTCATCCAGTGCCTGACCCTCTGAGATGACTTTCTACACTATCTTGCATGTTTTCTCACCCATTAGGATGTTAGTACCTTGAGGGCAGGGGCCATTTTCCCCCTTTTCTTTCTTTATCTCCCCAAGGCTTGCTTTGCACAGTTTCTGACACAAAATAAGCCTTAATGAATGCTTGCACCTGACTGACTGAGGACACTCCTGTGAGTGAAGTAGCCACCAGAAGGGAATCTGAGAAATGAGGAAATGGAGGGTTAAAAGGTCTTGGGAATGGCTACCCAGCTAATGTCAGTGTAGGAATTCAAACCTAGACCTTACTGACTCAAGGCTCTATCCACTCTACATCCATTTACACTACTCAGACTTGTTGTCATAGTCCCACAGGGAAGGCTGGCCTAATTCCTGGGATGAATTCTTTACTACCATTAAGTAGTTGAGAAGCACCATGGGCTAGTGAACAGAGGGCAAGACTTAGAATCAGGAAGAACTGCCATTCTGTGTGACATGGGCAAGTTATTTCATTTCTCAAAACCCTAGGCACCTCTCTAATATTATAAGTAGGTTACTGATATGCATCAAGAAAGGAGTTTTCATAATGGAAGTTGACACCAGTAAAATCACAGGTCTATTTTGTTCCCCCTACCCTTGAGGAAAAAAAAACACCTAGCTTGATGTGATATATTTTAGGGTCCAATCTGGGAACCCATATTTTGCAAGGCATACGGAAACCATGACTTTATTCAATCAAGCAAATGTTGATGGAGCACTTACTTGGTGCATAGCATTGTACTAAGCACTAGAGATATAAACCAAAAGCGAAAGAAGTCCCTGCCTTCAAGGAACTTACATTCTAATAAAGGAGACAACACTTAGAGAAATAGGTGTATACAAGATACATATAGAAGAGATGGGAGGTCACCTTAAAGGGAAAGGCAGTAGAAGCTGATGGTACCAGGAGAGGCCTCGTGCAGAAGAAGGCATGCATTCTAAGCAGAAGTGAAGAGTAATTGTAGTCGCTGTCGACCTTGGAAATCCTCTTAAAAATAGAACTAATGTAGAAATGAGAAACGAGCAAGCCTGTTCTTGGAAAATTGAGTCACTCTCCAGGAATTTCCATGTGCAGCCAGTTCAAATCAGCTTTTGAAATTATGTTACCATGATGAGATATTTTTAAAAATAGTGGAATCTCTATACATATGAAATAGACCACAGAAGAACATTTGGAAAGGAATATGTCCTATATTTTAATCATTCTCCCACTCAGTTCCTCAGGTCTGAACAGAAGCAGTCGGGACATTTGCGAATCCAATTCATCCCACTACTCTGAACTGAGTGAAACAAATACTTGGACCACTTTGTGTAGAAACAGAGGCACTTTGCATTCCTATTCTGACTCAGGCATCTCATCACCGGTAAATATCTTTGATCATCGATCCTCTCTCCTTTAAAGCTCTTTATAAGCATACTTCCTCTTGGCAAAATTTCTCAACACTTTCAACAGATTTGCAAACAAACCTGAGATTTCTCTTTCATGGACAGATGTTGGAGAGGGGGAAAGGAAAATTCATCTACTGTAGACTTGAAGAGAGGGGTGTGTGTGTGTGTGTGTGTGTGTGTGTGTGTGTGTGTGTGTGTGTGTGAGTGTGTGTGTGTGAAGAAGAGGATGAGCACCTGGATGGGGGGGTGGGGAGCAGAGGAGGGGGAAGAAAAGAAAAGCAGAGGGGACAGATAAGGGCATCATCCCAGGATGCTTTGGAGCTACTAAAAATGTCAGGAGGGTGGCCCGCCTCATCTTCTGCTGATGTTATTAAGCCTTGTCTGCGGCATGTTTGTGGCACAAACTGGCATGCTTATCAAATTTTCAAAAGACAAAGCTGAGAGGGGTAGCAAATACCTAGATGACAGTATCAGGATCCAGAAAAAGATCTTGACAGGCCTGAGCAGTGGATCAAATGAAATAAAAATTATATTTAAAATAGGAATGAATGCAAAATCATATAGGTAAGGTTAAAAAAAAATAACCTTCATGAGTATAACATCCAGGAGGCATGGCTAATTGTCAGGTCCTTCAGAAAATATTGAGGGACTTTAGTGGAATATGTTTAATGGGAAATATCTAGGGAGTTTAGTAAATTACAAAGTCACTGTGGGTCAGTGTGATTAAAAACAAAGTCTAATGTGGTCTTAGGCAGCATTAGGAGAGTCACATAGTGAACAGAAATAAAGAGATGATGGTCCCAGTGGACTCTGCTTTGATCATAACAGAGCTGGAGTATCATGGTCAATTGTGCAGGCCACACCTAAGGAAGGACGTTATAGAGCTGGAGAGGGTCAGGAAGGGGGAAATGATAATGAGTCCAGATTGTAAGATCTTCTCAATTAGGGTCTTAGATTGAAAGCCGGAAGAGACCTTGGCTTTCAACCTCTAGTTCATTTGCCTTATTTTATAGATTTGATGACTATCTGGAAAAAAAAAACACCTGGAGATATTTAGCCTGAATAATAATGATGATAATAATTTACATTTATATTTTGCTTATTTTTTGCCAGGCACAGTGCTAAGCACTTTGCAGTTATTACATCACTTGATACTTACAACAGCACCGGAAGATGGGTGCTATCATTCTCCTCATTTTGCAGGCGAGGAAACTGAGGCAAATAAAGGATAAGTGACTTGCCTATTGTCATATGGTTAATAAATGTCTAAGGTCAAATCTGAATTCAGGTCTTTCTGATTCCAAGCTTGGCACAATATCCACCTATCTTCTAAAAGAGACTGGGGCTGGGGAGGTGGAAAAAGAAGGAACGTGATGATGTTAAGAAGTCTGAAGGGCTGTCATTCCAAATAAGGACTGGACCAGAGGTCCTTAACCTGCAATCTGTAAACTTAAAAAAAAAAAAACACTACACTTAGGGGGCATCTAGGTGGTACAGTGGATAGCAGACTGGCCCTAAAGTCTGGAGGACCTGAGTTCAAATCCAGCCTCAGACACTTACTAGCTGTGTGACCTTGGGCAAGTCACAGTCCCAATTGCCTTCAAAAATAAGATAAAGAAAAAAAATTAAAACATATTTTGATTCTTATATTTCAACATCTTTGGTTTCCTTTGTAAATAATATATTTTATCATACATTTAAAAACATTGTTCTGAGGAGCATTCCATAGGCTCATGAAGGGGTCCACAACCCCGCAAAGATTAAGAACCCTGGAAGATTTTAAGCTTGACTCCAGAGAACAGAGCTAGGAGTAGTGGGTGAGAGTCTCAAAGGCACAAATTTAGGCTTGATGTCAGAAAAAAAGTTTTAAAACTTAGAGCTGTCCTGGAGCTGCTCTGGGAGGGACTGAATGTATTGGAAGCTTTTGGCCAGAGGCCTGGAAAACCAGTGGTTGGCCATACGATACCATCCGTACTTCACAAAGCATACCCCCGCTAGAGACCTATGTACCCAAGAAGTGGTTTCTGCGAAGAGGAAAAGATGAATAGGACCAATAAATACGTATGTTCAAAATTTGAACATCCTCCTTTTCTTTAAAAAAAATCAGCACATTAAACATCAAATAGTCTAAACATGGCAAGAAAAACAAAACTTGGTTTTACCCAGAACAGTCCTTTTCATCATTTTTGCATCTTTCTTTGTCCCTAAAATTACATTACGTTTGTGCATTCTCTTTTGAACAGCTTGGAATCTCCACTCTAGGGGCTGTGAAAAGGTTGACCTAGAGACAACTTGATATGTCCAGGGTTAATTAAACATGGTAGAGTTAATTAGGCTGTCATGTTTAGCCTTTCCCTTGGATTCCTTACTGTTGCTGAAGAATCACACCTCTATTTCCTTGAGACGGTGACAAGTCAGCTGATAATCTCATAGAACCCAGGCTGACTCCCTTGGGTAATACGCCAAAAATTTAAAAGTAATAACATCACGTTCCTCTGGAAGAAGATGGTATTGGTTCCTGGCTTTCCTCATATGGAACCAGAACAGGCGAAGGAAATGTGAAAAGTTAGCCAACAAGCTGAACTTCGGTCTATACAATATCAAACAGTTCAATGTTTTAAAGACTGAGCCTATATGACAGAAATGCACCAGTTCCAAAGGGAAGGGCTTTGTTTTAAAAACAACATAGAGTGACTAAGTCATTTTGACTATTATAAATACTCAAATTAACTACAAAGAACAGGTAAAGGAAGATCCTATCTGCAGCCAGAGAAACAGAATCCAATAAATAGAAGTACATATAGAATGGGTTTATATATGTATAATATATATAGTATGTATATATGTATACACACACATGTGTATATATATGTGTATATGCATATATATGTATATCTAAATATTTGTGTTTAATGATATCCATCTCTAGGCCTGGAAAGTAGGGGAGAGAAACAAAGGAAAAAAAATAAAATTACATGATAATTATATTATATATTTAAAAGGAATAGAAGGTTGTATATAACAGATTTACAATTTCATGAACAATCATTTTTTTCTCTGTTCTATCAATTAAGGAAATACTTGTTTTATTTCTAAAATTAAGAATAAAATAAGCTTCTTTAAAAAATGAAAAAGTGAAGGCTTCAGTCTCATAGTAGGATTTATTTAGAGGTATTTGGGAGGTTTGTTTTATTTTGTTACTCAATGGTCTACATAATGAATCGCGATGTTCCCTGAATTGGTCCAAGATTTTGGTGTTGTATAGACACAGCCCATGGTATATCCTTAAGTTTGTCTGAATCTCATGTCAAATATCCTAATTCCAAAATGTTCTAATCTGCATAACCAAGTGACTACCCCACCTCTCCATATCAAATAGCAGAAAATCCTGAATTTATTCCAAAACTTTAAAATTTGTATTACACAGTATCATAGAAGCAAGGAGCTTTAGTACCAGAGGGCCAACCATAGAGTAGGGAAGGCCTGGGTTCAAATCTTGCCTCTGACTCCTAGTAATCATGTGAAGTTGAATAAATCACTTAACCTTTCAATGCCCCCAGGAAACTCTAAGACCCTAAACTCCATAACTGGTGATCCACTTTGATGGAAGCAATATCCACTGACATTCCACCTGTCAAAAAAAAAAAGATTCACATTGTCAGAGGAACCTAAATTAAACATTTATTCATCACCCAAGAAGCCCCTATTTGTGTGAACCAGGAATATGAGATCATAGATCTAGGGCCAAAAGACATCTTAAAGGCTATGGAGTCCAACTCCATCTTTTAATAAATGGAGATGTTAAGGCCCAGGGAGGTTGAATGACTTTGTGATCAAGGTCACAAAGAATGTAAGCATCGGAAGGGGCATTTGAATGCTGGTCCTCTGACTTCAGAACCAGTGTTTCTTCCACTGAAATCCTTTGAAAAGTATAAACTAGAGCCACACAGTAGCAGAGCTGCAAGTGACTTTTAAGATAACGTAGTCTCAGAATGGTATGGTCAGGCAATAAATGAGCTCTTATTAAGCAACAAAGAAAGGCAAAAAGCATTTCCTGCCCTCAAGGTGCTCACAGTCTAATAGGGGAGACAAAGTGAAAACCACTAATCAATTAGTCAGTCAACAGCCATGTATCAAGTGCCTACCACATATCAGGCACTCTGCTATGTGCAAACAAGATACATGCATGGTAAATTGCAGATAAGCAAGAGAGAAAGCACCAGCATGAAGGAGGAATCAGGAAAGTGTTCCTGTAGAAGGTGGGATCTTTGCTGGGATTTGAAGGAAACCAGGGAAGCCTGGAGGTAGAGATGAGGAAGGAGATTATGCCAAGCGTGGAGAACAGCAAGTGGAAATGCCCAGAGTCTGGAGATGGAAGGGCATTTCAGGTCAGTGTCACTGGATTGCAGAGAATGGGGTGGAGGGGACAGCTAGGAGGCACAGTGGACAGAGCACCGGCCCTCAAGTCAGGAGGCCTTGAGTTCAAATCCAGGCTCAGGCCAAACACTTGACACTTACTAGCTGTGTGACCCTGGGCAAGTCACTTAATCCCAACTGCCTAAAAATAAATAAAAACAAAAAACAAACAAACAGAGAATGTAGTGGGGGTGGAGTGAGGGGGAGCAGGGCATAAGAAGATTGGAAAGGTAGGAGGAGGCCATGTTGTGAAGGACTTTGAATCCTGAACAGGATTTTATATTTAATCTTGGAAATGATAATGAGCCACCGGAGTTTTTTGAATGGAGGGTGTCATAATGCATTGGAAAGGAAACCAGGGTATGAATAAAGATCAACAAGAGGAGCTTTCCCAGGTTACATACTTGTCAGTGCTAGAATCTGAATTCGAACTCAAGATTTTCTGGCTGGCCATCCACTACTCTTTCTACTACATACTGGACTTTTCCAGGTTATATGGCTAATAGATGGGGCAGAAGGGTGGCATTTGTTTGAACCCAGTTCTCATGCTCTCAGAGCAGTGCCATTTTCACTAAGCCATGCCTCCTTCCCTTCTGTCACTGCTACTTTTATTTGTCCCTTTTTTTTTTATGACGATAATGCCATCTGAAGACATAAAAAGGCAAAGGAGTGTTTTAGTCTTGGGGGATTGTCCTTCCAGGCAATTTTGCTCCTACTGTAGGAGTGGAAAAATAACTCAAGAGCATAAAACAGTTTGGAAAAGGAGGCTTCCAAAAAACACTCAACTGGAAATAATCTCAGTTTATTTTTAAATAATACAGTGGAACAGCACTTAACTCACAGCAAACCAGAATGTGCTCATGCTGCTGGTGAGTAGACCAGGATACTAAAGCCAAATTTATTCTTTGAAAGCAGAACTAGGAGCAAAGCGTAGAATTAAAAAAAAAAAGATGAATGTAGCCTTGGGAAAAATTAAACAAAACAAAACTTCTTATCAATTATAGCTCTTCAAGATTAAATGGGCTACCCAAGAGGCAGTGGATTTCCATTACCTTGGAGGCCTTAAAGCAAAGGCTGAGTGAACACTTGGTGGGTAAATTGTAGAGGGGAGTTGTTTTTAGAAATGGGCTGGAATACATGGCTCTGAAGCCCCTTCCAATTCTGTGATTCTGTTAATAAGAATACCCAGGAGCATCTCTGTTTCCTAGGCATTCTGTAGGTAGCTTTCCATGAGCATCCCTATATATGTGTAAGATGGGGGCATGGATGACTTGGTCTCCTTTTGCAAATGAAGAATTTGATATCTATCTGACACAACTAAGGTCATGATAAAATATTTATAACAGAGGTAAGATTGAAAATGGTCAAATAGAAGATATTAAACAATCTAGCCTTTCTAGGAGCCAGGTAGAGGCATGAAATTGACATTTTTGACTTGTCAAATTTCTTTTACCCCAGTGTAATGGCATAAAATATATACCAATACGCATGTCCCTAATAGATAAACGAGTTTATTGGGTATGTGTTTAATAGCATAGTCCCTTTAAAGCAAGGGTTCTTAATTTTGTTTGTATCATGGATGCCTTTGGTGAAGCCTGTGGACCCCTTCTCAGAGTAGCGTTTGATGCTTTACATTCATAAATGAAGGGAATGCTAAATTTCAGTTTAAGATTAATGAAAGTAAAGGGCACAGTGGATGGAGCATTGGGCTTGGAATCAGGAAGAATCACGTTCATGCGTTCAGATCTGGCCTCAGACACTTATTAACTATATGACCCTGGGCAAATCACTTAACCCTGTTTGAGTCAGTTTCCTCATCTGTAAAATGAGCTGGAGAAGGAGATGGCAAACCACTCCAGTATCTCTGCCAAGAAAACTCCAAATGGGGTCATGAAGAGGCAGACGGGACTAAAACAGATCAACAGCAGCACCCAGTCCTTTTGTTTCTAAGTTAATGGACCCCATGCAGTCTATCTGTGGGCCCCAAGTCAGGAACTTCTGCTTCAGAGTAAAATGGCTGTTTAGTGAATTATTTCCTAATATAGCCATGATATAGTGGGAAAAGTTTTGCATCTGGAGTCAGAGAACCTAGTCTCCCAGTTCTAGCTTTGACACTTAACTCTGTGAGCCTCGGCAGGGCCCTAAATTTATTTGGTCTCAGTTATTTATTCATTGGCAAAGTGAAGGAGTTGGCCTACATGACCTCCAAGACTCCTTCCAGTTCAAAAGTTATGAGCATCCTAAAAACTAATCTTTGAGTATTTCTGGGATTGGAGAAGCCAACGTTTCACATTCATTTTGCCAATAAAAACCAGTTAACAGGACCTCCAGTCATTAACCCATCATTTCATTTCTCTTTTAATTTCCTCCCCTTTCCTTTAGCTTCCATCAGATTCTTTCAAATACCTCACCTGGAACAACCTAGACCAACACGATGTTCAGGGGAACCAACTACGCTGTCCAAGAGTGAGGAAAGGTATGAGAGCAAGTGTAAGTGGATATGACATGTATGTTTTGGGAAAATTTTCATTTTAATAAGTTCTCTTTGCAATTCTATTTTTATCTTTTAAAAAATTTTTAGTTTTAAAACTTTGAACTTAAACACTGCTCCCCTCCCCCAGCATTTTTATACATATAACAGGACACAAAGAGAGGATTCTGCACAAAATTCTGAATCTCCATTTCTGCCATTTGATTTTGATTTTGAATAAATTTTTTAAAAGCATTACAAGCTCATAGAATTTTTACTTACTTTTGACATTATGCTACCACAGAGTAAATTTCTAAGATTTCGAAGACTCACAGAATCTTGGAGTTCAAAGAGACTTCTGAGGCCATCCACCGGGCCAACATATATTTGAAGAATATGCATTATATGCAGCATATACAACAAATAGCCGTTCTCCTTCTCCTTGAAAATCTCAAAGCAAGGGGACCTACTACTTCCTGAGGCAACCGTTCCCCTTTGAGACTAATCTTATTATGAGGAAGTTTGTTTTCTTTCATATCATATAAATTTACCTCTTAAGACTCCTATCCATTGCACCTTATTGTGCCCTCTGGGGCCAAACCAAAAAAAGTCTAGTCTTGGTGCCTCACGACAGCCCTTTGTTGAATCACAGAATATCAGAACCGGAAGAAAGTGCAGGGACAATCTGGTCCAACCTTCATTTTCCTTTGGTACAGACCTGTGATATCATTCAGGTAGGGATCTCCCACTGAACCGATTCCCTGAACCAAAGCAGATCTGTAAATGATCTGCAACTTGGAGTCTTAGAGAGTCACTTGGGCCATTAAGAAGTTAAGTGAGTTGCCCAGGGTCACATAGACAGGATATGTCAAAGGTGGTGGGTGAATCCAGGTATTCTCTACTCCTGAAGTCATCTTTCTACTCATGATGTTCTGCCTCTCATCAATATCAATCGTCATGACCAAACGCTAATACAAATTCAGTGATCAATCAGTCAACAAGTGATCAAGCTCTTATGTACTGAGGCTTTGAAATGAATGTGTTTGTTAATCGAGCAGCTCAGCAGCACAGTGGTTAGAGCTCTGGGCCTTGGGTCAGGAAGACTACTCTTCCTGAGCTCAAATCTGGCCTCAGACGCTTACTAGCTATGTGACCCTGGGCAAGTCACTTAACCTTGTTTGCTTCAGTTCATTATCTGTAAAACAAACTGGAGAAGGAAATGGGGTCATGCAGAGTCAGATATAACTAAACCAACTGAACACTCACTCGTTTTGTGATTCATCAATGGATTTGTGGAGCCCATTGCACACATTCTACAGCATCCGGAGGCTGGGAAGCCCTAATCTAGTCCAAAGTCTTCCTTTTAGAGATAGGCAAACTGCCACCCAGGAAGGATAGGTATGTTGTCCAAAGTCATGCAGGCAATAAGTAGAAGAGATAGGATTTGAGGTCAGGTCCTCTGATGCCCAATCCTGTACCCTGTACCACACAGAACTTTTAATGAATAGAACAATTTAAGTTAATCAACACAACAGCATTCTTGGGATGGTATTTAACACTCTGCACAATTTGTCTTCTATCTACCTTTCCAAAGTTATTTGATCTTCCTCCTCTTAATCTACCCTGTATTCTAGTAAAAATGGAAGCCATTACCTGAGCTCCTGAGAACTTAATATTCTATCTCCCGCCTCTGCACATTTGGTCAAGCTGTTCCCCAAACATACAATGCACTTCTTCCTCATTTCTGCCTACTACATGCCTGCTTTCCTTCAAAGATCTTCTTAGATGTTATCTGCTCTGTGAAACCCATTTTGATCCTCTCTCACTTGGCAGTGCTTCTCCCCTCTCTGGTTTTCTAGTCTATACTTATGTGTGCATATATCATATCCCTCCTGGAAAATGTAAGTTCCATGAGGTCATTTTCCTTTTTGATAGGGTAGATTTTTGACATAGATCAGGAAAAAAAAAGCATGTTTAGAAATCCAATGTAAGACAACAGTGTAAAATGGCCACTTTAAAAAGCTCAATCCATAGCTCCATCTCTATTTAGATGACAGAAGGCAATAGTTCCATTATCCTCGGCACTCATCATGCCGTGACTGGACTGTTGTGTCCATTTCCAGGTACCACATTTCAAAAGGAACATTGATGAACCAGAGTATATCCAGAGGACAGTGGTCATGGTGAGAGGACTCAAAACACTACAAAGGGTTACCAGGAACTGGGAATGATTAACTTGAGAAAGACAAGACTTAAGGAAAATATGATCAGTATCTTCGAACAATTGAAGGGTGATCATCTGGAAGAAATTAGACTTATCTAGGGGTCTAGATCCAGAGTATAAGATATGGGCAAAGAGGTGGAAGTTAGAGCGAGACAGATTTCTGATCAATATAAGGACTAATTATTAAGAGATATCCAAAAATGGAATGAGCTCCTTTGACAGATAATGAGTTCCTTGTCATTGGACATGTTCAAGAAGAAGCATGATGACCGCCAGTCAGGGATATTGCTAAAGGGATTCCTGAGTGGCTTAGCAGTCTCATTTGATGATGCCCACTTGACTGTAATCTAAAGCAACCTTCTAAATTCTAAGTTTCTATGATTCTCTGAAATAAATGCTCCTTGGCCTTATACTAAAAGGTTCACTTTTGGATCTGGGAAACAGCTTCTTCTTCTTCTTCTTCTTCTTCTTCTTCTTCTTCTTCTTCTTCTTCTTCTTCTTCTTCTTCTTTTTTACAGAAATAAATACCTTCTAAAAAGAATTGCCTTCTCTCTCTAGATTAAATCCTGAAATAGTCATCAAAAGTAGTTCAGCTGTTACCCAAATGTCAGATATCCAGAGGGAGTTTTCTAAGAAAAGAAAGGTTATCTGGGGTATGATAAACAGTTAGTTCTTGAGACTCTGATTATCAGATAATGCTAAAAATGAATCTCTCCCAAATAGAAATCAAACAAAAAAAGAAACAGTCAGCAGGGGAAACAAAAGGATGTTTTTTGTTGTTGTTTGAAAATCTCTCAGGAAGTTATTCAGTGACTGCTTATTAGGAGTTGCAAGTCTGGCAAGAAAGAAAGAATAAGCTCTGAGGTATGAGGTTCATGCCACCATATCTCAGCTGTCAGAGAGTAAAGACTGGAGCTCTCAGCTATTGAGATATAGCTTCAATTACCATCCAAGACTGAGCTAAAAAAGGCAATCCCATTTAATACAGCTTCTCAGCATTGAGGTGACTTTTGGCTTCCAACTTCAAAAAAATCTTTGAAAGTCCCTTTAAAGAGAAATAATTAAGGGAGCAAGAGATCAATAGAAGTCAAACAACAAAGGGAGACAAATTGAGTAATTCTGGGACATGAGCCATATAGAAATGTGTCCCAAACTTTTTTCTACCACTTCAATGCAGTACGGAAACTTTCTCCCCAGGAATTAGCTGATTATTCAATTTTTTTCATCTCTATGATTCTTTGAGCTAAGCATAATGAACCAAGAGTACATATTCAAAATTGTTGGGTGTTTAGTTTGAAATGGCCTTGGAGGATGGCAGGCCCATTACTTTAAGGTGTCGAGCAATTTTCCATGTTACTTGGACTGAACACTAGGCAGACAGCCACCACCTCCCCAATTCCTAGGGAAGTAGGTGCAAAAACAGGTGTGATTTGGGTAGATTATTTTCATTGGTGATGATCAAGCTATTTGGGATGGGGGAAGGCATGGAGAGGGAAGAAAAAAAATGACTGATATTAGTGAAAGAAAAACACTTGGATAGCTAAAGTTGCCCTTTCTGGTGACTTTGCTCATGTTCCAGGGCCAGAAATTCATATTTGTCAGATAATTCAAACAGTGAAATAAAAGATAATTCAAAATAGTGAGTCATTTTGTCCCCAACAGTGATGTCCTTTCTTCTTCTCCTTGCCTTTATGGGAAATATTTTTAATATCCAGTCAACTGAGACTTCAAACTCAGTGATCGTTTATCAAATGTGTCCTTTATGCCAAGCATGGGGCTGGATGGTGCAGCAGTTAGAGTGCTGGGCCCGGAGTCTGGAAGACTTCTCTTTATGAGTTCAAATCTGGCCTCAGACACTTAATAGCTGTGTGACCCCGAGTAAGAACTCAACTCTATTTGCATCAGTTCCTCATCTGTAAAATGAGCTGGAGAAGGAACTGGCAAACCACTCCACCATCTTTGCCAAGAAAACCCCAAATGGGATCATGAAGAGTTGGATATGACTGAGAAACAACTTAACAATGACAATACACCAAGCCCTGTGTGGCAGCATAGAGAGTCAACGCAAATCCACTCCTCCCCTCAAGGATCTTACACAGTTTAAGGCCATGACGTAGTACACTAGTAACCGTGAACACTGATTTGGTGTCATTTGTGATCAGTTGAATTCCTGACACAATGGTGAGTTGGTTTTTTTAATGGAGTTTTATGAAATTCTGAGTGATAGCCAACTCCAGATCATCCATGGAAAGAGAGAATAGGCATCCTGTTGATCAATAAATCCCTAACTAATGTAAAGCCTTGCTTTATCAGAAGTCCCTAATGACCTCATCACAGTCTTTAAGAGAACCACTAAATAAAAAGTCATAATAACTATCTGATATGTAGGTGTGAAGTTTCCAAAGCACTTTGCATATCTCATTTAATTTTCACACCAACTTTGTGAGGTAGGGGCTGTTAATTATTCCCATTTTCTACATGAAGGAACTTAAGCTGTTAGAAGTGAAATAACTAAGTTACTCAGGGTTACAAAGCCAAGAAGTATCTGGGGCAAGATTCAAATTCAGATTTTTCCCCACTTCAATCCCACTACTCCATCCACTATGCTATACGGCTGCCACTGTTTGCTCCCTGAAGTTTTCCTTTCTCTCCTTTTCCCTGCTCACCTTTGATTGGAAAAGCAGCTTGGATAAAAACCAAGCTGTCATCAAAGGGGAAACAAGGGCTTAAATGAATCATTCAGTTGAGTGTCAATATCCAAATAACTGATCGTCTGCTAATATTTAGACCTGATGTGAAAATACGGGTTTGTATATTAGGAAATACTGTTTCATTTGCCTTAGAAGGCCTAGGAGAAGCAAGGGTATGTGTCATATCTCATTTCACATAAGGCAAAAGATGAGAAGAATGATTTGCAATGATTAGGAAGTTGGCAATATGAAGAAATTTTCCCTTTTCTTAGCCTAACAAGTCACCAGATATAGCAGAATTTTGTTATAACATGTTTGGTTGGTACTTGGAGTGTTTGGATATAAACCTGCCATGTCCTGTCTCCTGAAACCTGACAATAACGTACATCAAAGGCCCTAAATTACACAGGTTGCTTATAAAAGTAGTTAGTGGTCATGTTCCCAGAGCTGTAACTAGCAATTTTATAGCCAGGGCAAGTGATATAAAATGTGCTCCCATTCATTTGAGACAGAGAGAACATACTCTAGGATGCCTTGAAATTCCTACTGGGAAGGCTGCTATGGGCTGGGAGTGGGGAAGGGGAGGGCCAAACCTGGAAGCTCTGCTGGAATATAACCCCTCGAGGGAAGACAGCCACATCTATTCCTTTCCTGTGTCGGTTAATTATCTATGATTAACTACACGCTTGACTGAGTTATTTTTGTCCTGCAGAGGGACTGAAAGGGTTGCCAAGACTCTTTCTAAATTTTGGTACCCAGAAACAAGCCCAGAGTGCCCCAACCTTGCTAGAGTTCTGCTTGTTCCTTCCCCAAAGCCAGTAGCGTAAAGATATTCTATTATATTTTGTTTCGATTTTTATTTAGGGCCTTCTGAAGAAGACCTGCTTTTTAGACGTGAGGAATATAACTTCCCTCCAAAGAAAAAGGTACTTGAAAAAGATAAATGGGAAAAGTGGCAACAAGAAAACTGGGAAGAATGTACGGTAAGAATTTTTCAAAAGGCCCATGACCTAAACATGCACACCTTCTTCATTAGTTTTTGTTAAATATGACTTTTTAAAAACAGCTAATAAGGGTATTTCTTAAAGCACCAATATACACCAATTATTTTATGATTTTTCTAGAGTCCCTCAGAATGTCAGCTGCTTAAAGACAGGGATGATTCCATTTTGGGCTTTGTATCAATACCCCTGCACCTTTTGGATTCAGTCAAAGGGCTGCACTTGAGGCCACATGTAGCCTCAAGACCACAGGTTCCCCACCCCTGGCCTAGAACAAGGCAGATGTTTCATCTGTCCTTGTTGATTCAGATTGGATTTATTGATCAGAAGCAAGTGAAACTTCCTCTAAAGATTAACCGTGTTTCTATTTCTCCCTTTCATTTTTTCATTTTTGGGGGGTCCCTCATAATGTGTTAGTCATTTAGACCCTTAACTGGGACTCATCCAATTGTCATCAAGTTGTTTTTTAAACCTTATTTTTATGTTGCTCTTACTGGAAATTGTCTTTGAAATTTGTCTCAAAGAGTTCAGGAAGAGCCTTCTCCTTTGAGCAAGGAAAAAAGCTAGTAACGCAAAGCAACGAATCTTCTTACAATCTTAAATGACTCCTATAATTCATAGAACCTGGAGTTTTGACCAAATCTGATCAGCCTGTCCCTTCCATGTAGCTCTGCCAGGAGAAAGGAAGCAGTAAGTTCAGTAGTGAATGGTGCACATAGTCGTTTCCAGTCCTCTAAGAGAAAACCTGTTGCTGAAATTCGTTGCCTTAAAGATGTAGAGTTTAGAGTGAACTTATATATTATCTAGCCCAACCCCTTCATTGTAGAGATGGGGAAACTGAGGCCTAGAGAAGTTAAATGACTTGACCAAGATCATACAAGTAGCCTTCAAGCAGAGACCAAATGATGACTTTGGATATCTCCTTTAACCTCAGGTCTTACTTTTTATTATTCTTAACTGTGGATGCAATGTGTTCCCCATGCAATAGAAGGTAAGCTCCTAGAGAACTAGGGTTTCACTATTTTTTACCTTTGTATCATCAGTGCCTGACCATGTACCTTCCACATAACAGGCATGTAGATGTTTGTTTTATGGAATATTGCGGAGTGTTAGAATTTCAGGTTGTGGTTGAACCCAACGATGCCAAGGTCCCTTCTGGTAAATTTTCTATGTTTGTATTCAAACGAGAGCTAGGGTTCCTTCTATCTCTGAGTAATGAAAAGTTCTTATTTGCGTTGGAATAATTCTACACAGATAAGCTGGACCAAATCAAACAGTTGGGTTTCTGAGACCCGACTTGACCCAGGTATTCTGTTTAGATCCAATTTTGGAGACTTCTCTAGAAAGGATGCACACTGGAAAGCATTTTTTAAAAAAGTAAATAAACATCTTACTCCATGGGATTTAAAATTTTCTTCTCTGGTACCCTAATAATCTAGATGTAGAGAAAGCAGTACCTCTGACAACGAGAGGTGGCACAACACACTGGAAAGTACATGGGATTTGGAGACAGAGGACCTGGGTTTGAATTCTGACACATTGACTGTGTGACTTTGGGCAAGTCACTTCCCTTCTTTCATTTATAAAATGATTATTTCAGAATAAATGGCCTGCAAGGTCTATTTTTTTTATCTTTAGATCTGCATTCAGGAGGCAGGAAGTCACTTAATCTTCCTGTAGCAATCTTTTTTTTTTTTTTGGGGGGGGGGTTCCTGTACTAATCTTAATGATATAATTTCTTCAGCCTTAAAATGGAAAGGTTGCACTGGACGGTCTCTGAGGCTCCACCTGGCTTTGGATCTATGATCCTTACAGGGGATGAGACTAGATGGCCACAATTGTATACCACAACTTCTTCAGCCATTCCCCAGTCGATGGACATACCTACAGTTTCCACTTCTTTGCCATGAGAAAGAGAGCTGCTATAAACATTTTAGAAAATATATGTTCTTTTCCTTTTTCTCTAATCATCTTTGGCAATCATTTTGGAAATGCTGGGTAATAACTCTTTGGGCATAATTCCAGATTGTTCTCCAAAATGGTTGGATCAGTTCACAATTCCACCAACAATGAATTAGTGTCCCAACTTTTTCCACATCTCCTCCAACATTTGTCAACTTTCACCTTCAATCATTTTAGCCAATCTGATAGGTATATATCCCAAAGTTGTTTTAATTTGCATTTCTCTAATCAACACTGATTTAGATCATTTTTATATGATTATAAATTGTTTTGATTTCTTCAATGGAAAATCACCTTCATTGAACTTCTTTGAAAGTCCAGAACTTCATTGGAAAACTTCATTTATCACTTGGGAAATGAGATGGCCTCTAAGGTCTCTTTCAACTTTATAAGCCTTTGGTCAATGAATAACTTAATGTTAGGTACAGAAGATCTAGAGACCAAAGGGCCCATTTTGGCCCTGCCCTCTAGAATTACTGTACCCTTCCTCTCAATCAAAGTAAAGTATCTACTTTCACCACTCTTCTGTATTTGCACTAGATCTCAGAATTACTAGTTATGGCTAGTATGACAACATTTTTTTGGTTGAATGACCTATCCCAGTTTAACTATTTGAGACCAGGTCTGATCTGCACATGCAAATGAGCCAAAATACCTTCCCCCTGCATAAATGAGGAGATGAAAAGATATTAGGCCTTCAGATCACCTCCTTTATATCCCAACAGTGAGACTTTCCATAAGGTGAAATTAGGATTAGGGTTAAATTTGCCTCTGACTTCAAGGTAGTCAACAGTCTTCCTAATGAAAGTGGCCTTGAATGGCCCTGATAATCAGAATATCCAGGTAGATGTAGACTGAACAGTTCCAGCTGCACTTCATTAATATGTGCCCTTTCAGCATTTACTTGGTAGTTTTATCTTAATAACTTCCATTTTTTGGTAAAAGTCACATTTAAATCATTTAGTTTATGTTGTGTTATGTCAAAAAACACATAGAAACTCTGTAGTGACATTAATAATCTTCCCAGATGTTAGACTTCTGAAGGTCCTTTAAAAACAGGAAGCAATTTTACTTCAGAAAAAAGTTAAATGTATTGACACTTTCTCTTATTCTACATTTTTTATTTCCAGAAATTAATAGTGATCATATAGAAATTTCATTTAAAAAGGAGACAATGTGATTTTTATAGGCATCATGACTCTTTAAGCTTATAGAGCTTAGAATAGAAATTATTTTAGTTCCCTTGAAATCAAGAATGTTGATAGGGTGGTTGATTGTGAAAAATCAGCCAACTTCCAAAGTTATTTTTAGGCATAAATCCACAGTTTTTTTTTTCAAAAATAAAGTGCTCGTGTTACCTTCTTTGCATGATATTCACAGGACTCTGAATTGTCATTAACTGTGGGTTTCAGGGGAAGTAGGTAGTTATGTGGTTCTGTGTGAGATCATCAGGTCTTTTAAAAAAAAACAGTTTTTGAAAAAAGTCGCAAAAAAGAAATTGCTTTTTCACCTTCTTGTTCCCCTCCAGAATTTGAACATTTCATTTCAGGCTTTGGGAGACCCTTATCAAGCAGATAATTTGAACAGGATTCTCCGAAGACTAATTCGAGTGCGAACCCTTTGGCTGGTGGACAATTCTTTGACGGATCTAAGTGCCATAAGACTGCCCAGGTACTTACACCACATTCAATTACCAACGCAGCAGACAGTTTAAAATCAAAATCTCTAAGCATGGCAAGGAAACAACATTCCAAAAGATCTAGGGCATGCTGTATTAGGAAAGAATTTAGTCGTCTATACTGATCATGCATGAGAAATAGAAAGCTGCCATGGAGCCAAATACCTAGGCGAAAGGTCTGTTGTTGACTTATACATGCCTGCATGAACCTGGAGGAGTCACTTCACAGCTTAGTGACTCAGGTAATTCACTCAGACCATCAATTGAGAAATAGTTGCTGATCTACATTTATCAGAAGGAGTGAACTGGTATAGTTCCCTAAACCCAAAGAAATCACTGGTCTAGGCAATGTATTTGTGCACATATCCTAAATGCACCACTCTTTTCTAGCTCTATACAATAATGTTTTGGTAGTTTGATTGGTATGGCATTGAATAAGTAAATTAATTTAGGTAGAATTGTCATTTTTGTTATGTTAGCTCAGCCTACCCATGAGCAACTGATGTTTTCCCGATTATTTAGATCTGACTTTATTTGTGTGAAAAATGTTTTATAATTGTGTTTATATAATTCCTGGGTTTGTTTTGGCAGGTAGACTCCTAATATTTTATAATGTCTACAGTAACTTTAAATGGAATTTCTCTTTCTATCTCTTCTTGTTGGGCTTTGTGGTAATATATAGAAATGCTGATGATTTATGTGGGTTTATTTTATAACCTGCAACTTTGTTAAAGTTTTTCATTATTTTAAGTAGTTTTTTACTTGATTCTCTAGGATTCTCTAAGTATATCATCATAGCATCTGCAAAGAGTGATAACTTTTTTTCTTCTTTGCCTATTCTAATACCTTCAATTTCTTTTCTAAATACACATCTCTTGTCAGTATCAGTAATAGTAGAATTCTTATTTCAAATAATTTCTTGTCAGGTATAGGTGCATCTCAAAATTACAAATATTTTAAGGCCCATTTAAAGGCACACTAAATATTAAGTAAGAGGGAATGCCTTTCGCTGTATATAGGTGACTTGAATTACATCAATGAAAATAAGTTTATTTGCAAATAGAGAAAATGGACTAATAGAATTTTTTCAAATCAAATTATTAATTTGAAGCACTAATTACACTAGAATCATAGAAGAGTAGTTTATGCTCATACAGTCATGTGAGCAGAGAAGTCTGTCCTTTTTTGTTGAGTAGCAAACAACAGTGTTGATTACTGGGCCATGTACCTTCTATTCCTGACTTAGGTGTTGTCAGTCAACACTATTTATTGAGCACCTGTATATTAGAAATTCTATGAGTCAGTCACCATGAGGGAAAACAAAGGAAAGAGAAAAGACCATCTTGGCTTTCAATATCACTAAGGAGACATTCATTCTCTCTTTCTATGTCTCTCTGTGTGTCTTTCTGTGTCTGTCTCTGTTTCTCTCTGTCTCAGTCTTCGCTCTGTCTTTCTCTCTGTCTTCGTGTCTGTCTCTTTCTCTCTGTCTCTGTCTGTCCTCCCTGCCCATATCCCTGCTTGTCCTCATTCAACCATTGATTAAGTACTTGCCAGGTACCGTTTCATGTTTGTCTTTATATTCCCTGTACTTGGCACAGTACCTGGCATGTAGGAGGTACTTTAAATGTTTTTTTTTTAATTGAATTGAATCACCAAGAATGAACACTGACAGAGGAGTGAATAAAATGTGCAGCCACTCATGGACAACTTTGGGGGTTAATTAATTTTAAAAATGAATTTTGAGGACAGGAAAGAAATTGGGCCAGTGAAGAGTAAGATGGGACAAGCATTCTAAGAATAAATAACATTCCCAAGGCACAAAGGGAGAAACCAGGAAATCAGTTCTAATGAATAATGATCCTTGACAATCCTTTCCAATGCCAACCCCCCTACTTATTTCCCCCACCTTACATGTCCTTAGCCCTGCCTTGAGAGGACAATTTGTAAATGTGCTTTTCATCCATTATTCATATAGTACAGATCAACTTTAAGGACAAATTTTTAAATCTTTGGAAGCCATAATGTTATTCTGGGACATAATTCTACTGTTAAGAGAAACAGACTTTTAGCAATAAATTAACTTTCTGATGAAAACTGAGTTTACCTTGAGTCTTCATTCATGTCAGTTCTCTCTTTAAAAAGCTCTGTCTTCACTTTTCTCATTTTCTCACCTGCCTCCTCCTACAGAATTTGAACATCATCAGAGTAACACCGTCATTGTCTTGATCACTCATTCTGTGCAAAACAGCCTTTGGTTCCTGACAGGCAGATGCCTCAATCCCATGACTATGGCTGTGGCTGTTTTTCACCAGGACCTAAATAACAAAGGACTCTTACATCATTGTCCTTAGGACACCGTGGAACTTATAATGATGTGACTTATTTTTAGCAACGTAAGCTCAGCCTAATCAAATTATGGTGTTAAATCCACATGCTGAGGACAGTTATTCATCAGGAAAAGAAATGTATTCACTAGAGAGTTTTAGGGAATTTTAGTCTTTTTTTTTAAATGATGACTTTAATGTTTTATTTTTGAATTGAAAAGTGTATCTAACATACAGAATCCCACTAGAAAGTGAATGGATTTTCTCCCTCTTGAGAAGATATTGTATGAATTGTTTTTCTTGTACCCAGATGCAAAGAATTAAATGTCAGCAAAAATTGCTTTACATCTTTCAAACAATTGCCAAAGATACCCGAAACACGGCATTTATCCTTGGCTGAAAACCAGATCGCAACACTAAGTGGACTCTCCAGCTTGCAATCCACTCCTTTAGAATCTCTCATGCTCAAGAGGAATCCCTGTGAATTTCACCAAAACTACAGAAAACAGTAAGTCCTCTAAGGGAAGGGAATAAGCATTTATTAGGCACCTACTATGTGGCACACCTTTACAAACACTCTTTCATTTAATCCTCACAAGTACCCATGGATGTAGGTAGTATTATCACCCTCATTTTACCAGTGAGAAAACTGTCAGACAGAGGGTAAAATGACTTGCCTAGGTAGGTTCACACAGTCAGATTTGAACTCAAGTCTTCTTGACTCCAGGCCCAGTACTCTAACCACAGCACCACCAAATAAACAAAGGCTTGCTCACACTTCACATTCAGTTATGCTTCTTCTAAAGGAGTAATTTCTAAAACACCTGCCCCAATTGAATTCTCTTTAATCTATTATGCTTTTTCCCTGTTACCATTACTTCATGAATCTGGTCTAATTTAGAGATGCCACCACTCTCAGCCTTATACCCTTGCTATCTTCCATTATCTCCAACCCACTTTTTCCTTTTTTAAGTTCGAAAAGATTGGCATGTGTCAGCTTTAGGTACCAGTAACAAGATAACTTCACACGTATGTAGGACATTTCATCTGAGACACTCTGAGTAATATTAAATTATGCCTGGCTGCATTTTTACCTCCGGCATTTAATGGATGATATTTCTGTTCTTTTCTGAAGATGGATCTGGCTTAGATTAGATACAGGGCAACATCCTTCCAAAATGCTTATTCTTTGGTTGGATTTTCATTCCTTTTGGCTTCCAGTGCCCCACTTAGTGAACAGAAAAAGATAACTTATTAAATATACCAAAGTAGTCTGAAAGAGGTAATATACCTGCCAAGCATGAGTGAGTTTACTCCCTTCTTCACTGTTGGGAACAGGCCCAGGAGGTACAATAGAATTTGAGCAGCCTTGGGAAGGATGACATGAAGACGAATGTCTTGCTGCTCCTGGGCCCCTTTCTCAGGGTTATCAGTTACAGTAAATCTGAAAGGTAGAGGAGAAGTTGGAATGCAGAGAGCTAAGTTCTCATCCAGGGTTTCTCACTAACTTATTATGTTATCTTGGACAAATTAGCCCACTTATCTGGGTCTCAGTTTCTTCATTTCTTAAAATGAGGGAAGAAAGACTAGATCCAGAAAGAACCTCATTGTTACTGTCATGTTTAGTCATATCTGGCTCTTTGTGACCCCATTTGGGGTTTTCTTGGCAAAGATACTGGATGAGTCTGCCATTTCCTTCTCCAGGGTCTCCATTTTACCATTGGGGAAACTGAGGCAGATAGGCATTAAAAGACTTGCCTTGGGTCACACAGCTAATAAGTTTTTGGGGTTGGATTTGAATCTGGTCAGGTCCTCTTTGCTCCAGGCCCAGCACTCTACCCACTGAGCCACTTAGAAGGAACCTTAGAAGCCATCTAATCCCAATCCTGTCATTGAGTGGGTGAGGAACTTAAGATTCAGAGAGATTTCTTGACATGCCAAGCCCAGTCAGTAAGAAGCAGAGGTTGAATTCAAACCTAGGCTCTAGGGCTTCTGATTCCAAATTCTACACTTACAGGCACATAGATTTGGAGAAGGAAGAGATCTTTGAAGCTCTCTAAACTACCTCCTTATTTTATGTATGAAAACTGAAATAAAACTTAGAGTCATAGGAACTGGATTTGAATTCTACCTTTTGTCACTTAACAGTGACCTTGAATAAGTGTCTTGCCTAAATTCACATGGGTGAACCTCCCATCCAAGGCGGGGTTTAATCCCAGATCTGAACAGCAGAGCTACTATTCTTTCTATCCTAACGGGATCTAAGATCTTTCTCCAGCATCAAAATTACATTCTAATGCTTATTTATCCCCATTACATTTTAACAATAAGTCATAGCTTTTATTTCCTTCCTTATCAAAAATATCATTTCCCCAATTCTGGAAGTATATTACATCATATTCCACTTTTTTTTTGTCCTTACCTGTGGTTTCATAGGAATAGGGGAATTCCCGGTGAGGAAGCTCCTTCTATGAAGGCAGTTGGGCAATTTCCCTGCAAATTAATGTCTTGGAGAATTGCTTAAGGAGCCCTGAGCCTAAGTGATTTGCCCAGGGTTCCATAGCCATTAGCCAGTGTGTGAGGTGAGACTTTAACATGTCAATCAATAAACATTTATTAAGAACCTACTATGTGCCACGTACTGTGTGAAGTGCTGGGGATAGAAAAAGAGGCGAGAGGCAGTCTTTGCCCTCAAGGAGCTGACAGTCTAATGTGGGAGACAACATGCAAGTAAATACATGGAAGCTATATACTGGATTACCCAGTTTTTGATTCCAAGACCAGCTCTTCATCCACTGTGTCACTGGTTCTCATAAGTTGCTACACTCCTGATTCACAGTGAAAAGCCATAAAAATAAAATTGCTTCTGGATTAAAGAGAGACTGTGTGACAAAACAGAAAGAGAGCTAGACTTGAAGTCAAGAAGACCTGGGTTCAAGTCCCACCTCTAACATACACTGATTATGTTACTTTAGGCAAGACACCTAACTTCTCAGTGTTGGACAATTCTCTAAGAACATAACGTGCCATCCTACATTGATGGAGGGAATTTGCGTACCAGGAATTCCTTCATACCATGAAATCCCATGCCTACTCCCAATCCTTATCTATACCATACAACACACCCTTAGATTAGGATAAATGAATGTCCTTTGTCCTCAAGGAGCTGAAGAAATAAGATAGACTTGTGACCTGGCCTTGTTCTAATTCATTCATCATTTATTAAGTCCCACATGAGGCCCTGGGGAACACAAAGTCAAAACAAAAACCAATTTCTACCCTCAAGGATCTTATATTCTGCTGAGGAGAAAGTAAATCTTGCAATGTTAGTGAACTGTCACACTACTATAATCTGAGAGCAAACTGTCCCCATCTTGTCATTCCTCCAGGAGCATGGGTGCAGCAGTTATTTCAATAGCATTGCTAATTGTGTTTAGGTGACATTCCGAGAACAAATTTCCCAGTACCAGACGGTGGGTTCACCATTAATAAAAATCACAGCCTTAGGCATCCTCTTTTGCTTCCAGGCATCATTTTTGTTAATTTATGAGCAGCAATTTTCTTTAGCTGTTGGCCCAAAGTCAGCCACTTGTTTTCCTCTAAGTCACACTTTAACTTACTCTGATACTTGATGGATCTATAATTTCCTTGAGGTGGATGATCTTCTCCTCCCTAGAAATCTTCAACCCCTTCCTAACTCTGGCAGTAGATGGTTTCATGAGTTGCTATGGTCAAAAAGCAAGTTGTTACCTAGTAGCCAAATGTGTGAGGATGAGGCTTTCTTCACCTAGTTAGGCTACTCCTCCAATGTCAGACATACAGTCAGTCAATCCACGGCTAGGCCTGTCTTTGTGCCTTTTTAGCACCTATTAGAACATACACTCTACTGACACAGTCTCTGTGAACCTAAAGTCACCTCTATGCCACATTGAAATATTGGAGAAAGACTTTAGTAGGAGATATTTTAAAATAATCCACTTAAAACCCACAAATACTTTGACATTTACACTAGATATGTGCTTTTATCAACGTAGCAACCCCTCTATCCCTGTCCATCCTGTGTTGCCCACTTATTGATGGAAGCTGCCAATGGAGAATTAAAGGTAAGGTGAACTAGCTGTGATCTAATTGTTAATAAACCTTGTTTTATGTGAAGCAGTGTTATAGTGAAGTCCAGCTGAATCCTGATTAGTGGATCACATGTATTTGAATTCACACTATTGAAAGTTATAAGTATACAAAATATGATAATTGGTTTGATCAAAATGGAATATGCGATGCAATTTCAAATGATGTAACCACTTTATAGGATTCATTATTCTCAATAATGGGGACCTAGCTGTCATTTGATTACTACCAGCATTAGCTTTATAGGTGGCACCTATGGGATAGGCAGCTAGAATTAGAGTCAGGAAGACCTGAGTTTGAATTTTGCCTCAACATTTATCAGCTGGGGTGGAGCCAAGATGGCAGAGTACTGGCAGCTGAATTGCCAGCTGAATTGTCCCAACATTCCCCATCAAACAACTGTAAAATAAATCCTCAGAATGAATTTTGGAGTGACAGAGGGGTGACAAGGGCTCAGAGTGAGACCTTTTCCTAGCCTTAGATAACTTAGGAAGTCAGCAGGAGAGGTCTGTGACATCAGGGTAAGAGCAGCCTACAGAATGGAAGCAGTACCAGGGATGTGCCTTGTAGGCAGCTGCAAAAGTGACAGCAGCAGCAGCAGCAGTATTAGGAGTTCTCAGTCCAGGAGAAGGTTGAACAAATGGTTATAAAGAGATTGTGTGTTTGGGGGCGGGGGGAAGGGCAGAGACAAGATGGCAGAGTAAAAGCAGTGACTTGCTCGAGCTCTCCCCCAAACACCTACAAATACCTGTAAAAAATGACTAAACAAATAATAGAGCAGCAGAACCCACAAAAAGATAGAGTGAAACAAATTTCCAGCCCATGACAACCTGGACGGTTGATAAGAAAGGTCTATTGTGCTGGGCTGGGAAAGGACCCCAGTTCAGCGTGAGAAGTGCAAGCAAAGACAGGGCCCTAGCAAACCCAGAGCAGGCCTCAGGGGACTGAATCACAGGCAGCTGTGGCAGTTTCCAGACTTCTCAACCACAAATGCCAAAGATGACTTAGAGGGTCAGTGGGAAAAGTCTGTGACTACTGTGAGAGAGAAGCTTGGTCCCAGCCCCAGTCCACACAGCCCCAGGGTGGCAGCTGCTTCCTGAACTCTCTGACCACAGACTGAGGAGGAATTGAGTGGCTGATCAGAGGGGAGTTGCAGGGATCTCTTTGCTGGTGCTGAGGCAGGATTCTCTTGCATTCACCATGCCTGGAGCTGGGTCACAGTTCTGGGTGGCAGTCCTGGGGTGAGGAGGAGTACTGGCGTGGTGGAGCTTGTAGTGGCTGTAAATAGGGAATCCTCCTCACAGTTCAAAGGCAGAAAAGAGTGCTTGTGGTCACTCATAGACCAGAGCACAGGCCAGGAAAGAAGGAAACACCCCACTC